TATTGCTCAGGACAAGGCGAAAGTGCTGGCCTCAGACTTTGCTATTGCACAGCAGGTTACGCAGCAGGTCCATCGGCACGGTTTTCGACCTTACAGAACTCTGGAGGTGCTGGGCATGGAGGCTAAAGGCGGACACAGACTGAGCTTCGAAACGATTCGCAAGAGGGTGCGCAAGATGAAGAAGGGACTCCCCCGTTTCAAGAGACTCAGTGGTCTGGCCAAAATTGGCCGAGAGGTGGCACAACCATGCATTGCCCCCGCCATGCAGTACGGCATCCAGATCGTCGGCGCCACCAAGACGCTGATCAAGTCGATGGTCAGCATGGTTCGAGTGGGTTGGCGACGCACTCCTCCAGGAACCTCAGTCTGGTTGGCGGCTCAGCTTGAGCCGCGTTTCTTCGAACACCCTGAGATGATGGCGATCGTGGGCCCCCTCTACACGTGGGCCATGCTCGTCCAAGACATCAAGGTGCCCAACTACGTGCTGGAGAAGGCTTTCCTGCAGCAGCGCCAGATCTTAGGATCTACCCCGAAGCATGCTGACGTGGCAGGCCCTGCAGGAGCCGTATTGGTGGCACTTCATACTCTGAACTGGCGGGCGACGACGGCGACGGCATGGACTACATGCGCAGGTACAGCCTTGGACCTCACTACTGACAGCCCTGAGTGGCTCAGAGTTCTCGCAAGACGGGACTTTGTCAACGTGAAGTTTGAAGACTGGAGTCGCCAGCACGATCATGCGCCAGAGGACGAACCACCACTCAGGAGACCTTGTGGCTACTGGATGGCCCTCTCAAGATGCTGCTGGCGCCGAAGGAGCTGGCCAAGAAATGACACTTATCGGAGCAGGCTCGAGCAGCATTACGCAACTCAATCATAGGTGGCCAGTGGTCCCAGGCTCGGCTACACAAACATGGATATGCTACAGATAACTTGTGCCAGTATTGCTTGGACTGCCCTGGAACAGCACATCATCGTCTATGGTCCTGCCCTTTGCTCCAGCAAGAACGAGAGGCCGCAGTTGACGCTGACATCATCCAGGCGGCTCGGGCCTCACCTCACAACGACCTCCTGTTTCACCAGAGGCCTGATGCCGAGGGACGCCCTGCCTGGTATTCCGCCACCAGCTATGGAGGATGCCTGGAGGTTCGCCCATGGAGGTGATATGACCATGCTGACGGGAGAAATCTACACGGACGGACCAGGGCTCTCCCCCATAGCCTGGCCCGAAGCCAACAGAGCAGGCTGGGGAATCGCGATGATGACAGGTCAGGCTCTTCGTGGGATTGCGTACGGACCTCTCCCAGGACAACAGCAATCAGTTCCTCGTGCTGAACTATATGTTGTCATTCAAGTACTACGCCATGGGATGCTGCCGATACACATTCGCACGGACTGCCTGGGCATCGTGGAAGGCCTCACATGTGGGCCAGAGTGGTGCACGCACCCACGCAGGCCGAATTGTGATTTGTGGAGAATATTATGGCAGGCCATCCAAGATCATGGAGGTTTGTCCTCGCAGCTGGGGATCTCATATGTTCGATCGCACCAGACTCAAGGCGAGGCCACAGTCGACAAGAAGGGCAATGATTATGCAGATGTTGCAGCAAAGAGGGGGCTGGCTATGCACGCGTTGCCGTCGGAAGCCATTCAGCTCCACTCGAACATGATCAACATTGTCAGGCAGGTTGCGTGCTGGATTGGGTCCTCTATGGCGTTGGTTGGGAACCAGGACCGCCAGTCACCGCCTGTGCGCAAGCCACGCCGACGACTTCAGCAACGCCGTCGGCCTGGACACCAGCGGCCAGTTCTGACTAAGAGCCAGCGCCTGCACGACATCAGGCCCGCGCTGGCTCGAGGATGGAGATGTAAATACTGTCAGCGCTTCGCGCGGACGGCATCTGGACGTAAGCGCCTGGCCCTCGAGGTGAGTACAATGCACCGCCCCTCGGAACCTCAGGCCCCCGAGCCCCAGTCCAGCCCTGATGAGGTCCCGCGGAGCCCCCCCCCTTGGCCCCCGTCAGGCCCCCAAGAGGCCACTGGGCTGCCAAGACGGCCGAGGAGGCGGTCTGGACGTGGACGGCCCTGGGAGGAAGGCGCAGCGCGGTGATCCTCCCTCTTCCCCTACTTCGTCCTCTGACCCTCCTCCTCCTCCTCCTCCTCCCCAACCGAGCCCGCGGGTTAGGATTGTGGGTAAGTCTAGGAGGCCTGAGGTCGAGGAGGCTGAGGCGTTCATCCGACCCCCACGTAGGGTCAAGCCGAGAGTGCAGTTTGAGCCGCTTGTCCAGACTCGCGTTAGGGAAGCCACGGTCGCCCTTGATCCCCCGATTGGCTCGGAGAAGCGCCCTAGGCTCGCGGCGGCCACTACGAGGGCCAACGCCGCCCCTCCCAGCACGGTGCTCCCTGCGGAGGGGACGGTCCCCCCTCAGGCCTCTCGAGGCCATGTGCTCTACCGTGCGGGCGACGTGGTTGGATGCATGCGCTGCGGATCCTTTTCGGAACGTGCTCACCGATCCCAGCTTTATAATGAATGTGAGGGCCCCAAGGCCTTTGAGGGCAACCCTCAGAGGAAATGGAGGCGGAATAATTTCGCGGAGGGGCGGCACCCCAGCGAGGGCCGCAAGCACCCCATCCCCCTCCCTCGGCGCATGTTGGTCTCGGACCCCGCTGTGGAGTGGCTTGGGCTAGCCTCGTGAATTCGTTTCAATTCGTTTTGTTCTTAATGTTTCTGCGGGGTCTGGTTTTTGGATCGGCCCCGTGCCCAGGCCAGCTTCCTGGCCTGTCTCTGCTGCACAGGCCGTCGTCAGGCGTGTGCAAGGGGATATGTTTGGGTCAGCCCATTCGTGTTCCCCACTCTGTCTGTGAGAGATTGTGCGTTATCTCATTTTTCCCAATCGTCTGCTCTTTGTCCCGTATCCCGACTCGGCGCGTCCCCTCATGCGCTCGCTACTCCTCCTCCTCCTCCTCCTCCTCCTCCTCCTCCTCCTCCTCCTCCTCCTCCTCCCCCTCCCCCTCCCCCTCCTCCTCCTCCTCCTCCTCCTCCTCCGCCGCCTCCCCGCGCTTCCTCCTGGTCCAACTCGCGGCTTCTCTCGCCTTTTGAGATTCTGCATGCTCTCCCGCTTGCCAGATTGCTTCAACTACCCGAGTTCATCGCCCCGAATCTCGGCGACATTTTAAAACACACCCCAAGACCGCCAACGACGGCCCAAGAGACCCCTAGGCAACACCCTGAGACAGCTCAAGAAAGCCGCAAGACGGCACAAGACGGCCTCAAAGACTGCCCGAAGAGGGCTTCAAGACTGCTCCGAGAAACGCCCAAGAGAAGAAACGCGAAACCACAATCCGAGCCATCCAGCCCCACAGGCCTACATGAAGGCTCATGAGGCGCCAGAACACCCCATGGAGGACCCAGAGACCAGCGCGAAGGGCCACAAGGCCAGAAGGAGGTCCCGAGATGTTCAAACCCGTCCCTGGCGCCGAAGGCGCCAGGGACATCTTCCGAAGCCAAAGCCCTATGAGCCATACGGCCTCTGCGGCCTAAACAAGCCTCTTGAGCCCTATGCACACTGGCTCCTCCGATCCCTATACGCCCGAAGGCCCAACGGCCGCCCATGAACCCTACGACAGCGACAAGCATTGCCGGCCATGTGTCCCAGAACGATTCCCAGGCGCCATGCGACCAAAGTTGTAAAGGCGAAGCGCAGCGAGCCGGTACACTCGTGACATATATATATATATATATACAAATATATAATATATATACATGTATATGTATGTGTGTGTGATTGTGTGTATGTGTGTATGTATGTATGTATGTATGTATGTATGTATGTATGTATGTAGGTAGGTAGGTAGGTAGGTAGGTAGGTAGGCAGGTAGGTATGTGTGTATATATATGTGTATATGTATATGTATATATACATATATAACTCTGTTCCAAGGCCCGCGTCGCATCGCCGATGCATCGCCGATGCATCGCCGATGCGGCTCGATGTGGAGCCAGGGGGCCCGCGGTTCCCTGGGACCCATCCCATCTGGGGGGGCGGGGCCCGCGGGCCGGGAGCCCTGGAACATGCACCGCCGCGTCGTCTGGTCGGCCAGGGAGCCAGCGGACTCGGCGACGGCATCGGGTGCACGGACGCTCCAGCCGGGCGCGTTGGCTCTGTGCCGTCTGCTCGCCCTGCTCCGCCCCGACGCTGCGCGCGAGGCCGCGATCGCCAAAAAAAGTACGGGCGCTCCAGCATCCCACGGCCTGGGCAGCTGGGGCGTCTACGAGCCGAGCTCCCCTGCCGACCAGGCGACGTGCACCGAGCCCCCTCCCAGGGCGAGGGGGGCGGCCGTGCCTCTGGCCTGGCAGGACTGCTCGAGGCGCTTGGCAGGATTGCTCGAGGCGCGGGCCTGGATATCGGCGCCAGTCGCAGCACCCCGAGATCCGAGCGCTGCAGTGTTTTCACACCTGGCGTGGTGGCTTGGTTTCGGGCCCCGGGGCCATCACAGATCCATCCTGCTCGACACATGTAGCAGGGTGATCGGGTCTAGGGTGAAGATGTTCCAACACACTTCAGCCTTGACCACCAGAGCGAATTTCGAGCGCCATGAACATGCCGACACCGGAGGGTGTTCACGTGTCGGGCCCTGGCAGGCGATATTCGTTCGACATTTCGCCAGCGTGTCGGGCAGACACTGTCTCGATACTTGCCTGGGTGCTCGACAGCACATTTCTGGGGTATGGTCCTTAAGTACGATGGGAGTAACATAAGTCCAGGGCTCTGGTCGCGACTGTTTGCGATGGTGCATCTATTTTCCGGCGGCGAGCGAGGGGGGAAGTGAGAAGGAGGTGAGGCTTCTCAAAAGGTTCGGAAGTCCCCCAGCCTTATGGTATGTTTCCTAAGCCTCCCCCGAAGGCACAGAAAGCTTCCCGGAAGGCGCGAGGGCTCCTGAGAAATCCCGCCGCCTTCTGAGAAGACCACCTCCTTCTCACTTCCGCCCCTCGCTCGCCGCCGGGCTCTGGTCGCGACGGTCCGCGATGTTGCCTCTATCTTCCAGCGCCGGACCTCGGGGCAGGCCCCCGGGCCTCTCTCTCGGGACCGCTGCTCGAGGGGCCCAGGCTCCGTGGAGAGGGAGAGACGGGGCAGTCTGCCCGGGCATCCGCGCGCAAGCTGCACGCGCCAGGTCGCGCGTACGCGCCCTCGCTTCCACTGCAGCGTTCCGCGCTGGCTCAGAGGAGGACAAGGTACCCACGCCGCTACCCTTCCCTCGTTTTCTGCAGATGCTGGCCGCTGGATATGGCCACACGGTGCTGCTCAGGAGCGACGGCACCGCCGTGGCCCGCGGCAGCAATGCTGATGGTCGGTGCGACCTCCCGGCGCTGCCCGCGGGCCTGACCTACAGTCAGGTCGCCGCTGGATGGCCCCACACGGTGCTGCTCAGGAGCGACGGCACCGCCGTGGCCCGCGGCAGCAATGATTTAGGTCAGTGCGACCTCCCGGCGCTGCCCGCGGGCCTGACCTACACGCAGGTCGCCGCTGGAGGGCTCCACACGGTGCTGCTCAGGAGCGACGGCACCGCCGTGGCCTGCGGCGACAATGATGATGGACAGTGCGTCCTCCCGGCGCTACCCGCGGGCCTGACCTACACGCAGGTCGCCGCTGGATGGAGCCACACGGTGCTGCTCAGGAGCGACGGCACGCACGTGGCCCCGCTGGAATGCTTTTTTTGGTCATAGCGACCTCCGGCGCTGCCCGCAGGGCCTGACTAACACGCAGGACGCCGCTGGAGGGCGCCACACGGAGCTGCCACACGGTGCTGCTCAGGAGCGACGGCACCGCCGTGGCCTGCGGCCGGAATGATGATGTTCAGTGCGACCTCCCGGCGCTGCCCGCGGGCCTGACCTACACGCAGGTCGCCGCTGGAGGGCGCCACACGGTGCTGCTCAGGAGCGACGGCACCGCCGTGGCCTGCGGCGACAATGATGATGGACAGTGCGTCCTCCCGGCGCTACCCGCGGGCCTGACCTACACGCAGGTCGCCGCTGGAGGGCGCCACGCGGTGCTGCTCAGGAGCGACGGCACCGCCGTGGCCTGCGGCTGGAATGATGATGGTCAGTGCGACCTCCCGGCGCTGCCCGCGGGCCTGACCTACACAGCTCATTTGCTTCCAGCGCTGCTCCTGCAGGTGTCGCTCGATGGCGGCTCCATGGTTTTCGTCACCATCGGCGGGGTGGAGCGATGCAGGATCAGGGCGGCGCCCACCGCCCGCCTCGCAGACATCCACCTCCAGCTCGTGGCCGAGCACCGCGCGGGCAGGCTGGGCCCCGGAGCCTGGCGCGTCGAGGCGATCCTGCCGGGGGGCCGCCCGCTCAGCGCCGCGGCCGAGGAGACGGTCGCCGGCGCATTTCCCGCCGCAGCCTGAAGCGGAGGGCGGCGTTCGTATAAACAGAGCGCGTGCCGTTTGTTGCCAGGGCAGGTGCGCGACATCGCCGACGCGGCGCCGACCCCATGCCGCCCCTTGCCGACGCGATGCGGCCCTCCAGCGGCAGGAACGGCGTCGTATGTATGTTTTCTGGTCGCCGTGCAGTTCCCCTCGGGACGTGGCCCCCGCCCAGGCCCCCGATGCTGCCTTTTTTGACTTTCTCCATGCGGGCCCCCCCGGAGGTCTGGACCTTCTTGCAGTTGGCGAAGCGTCCTGGCTCGCCTATAGGCATACCAAAGAATGTTCCAAGAACCTTTTTGGGTTTGCACGAAATGTTCTGAGAATCTGTCTGGCTGAGTCTGTCTTGTTTTAACACATCGGGTTCATGTTCTAAGAAAATTGCTCTTGTTCTTAGAACATGTTTGGGGTAGGCCTATAGAGATGCTGGGACGGTCGGTCCCTGCTCAATCTTCCTGGGGCCAGCTCCTCATCCCGAGTCCGTTTTGCCCGCGGCCCCCCGGGACTCGGCGAGGGCCCCAGCTAGGCCAGGCGCCGCGAAGCGCCTCCGCCTCGAGCTGCTCGGGGCGCGGGGGCAGGCCCGACAGGGCCCCGCGCGGCCCCAGTCGCCCAGGGGGGCGCCCAGGGCGGGCCCGAAGGGCGCAGGGCTGGGGGGGGTGGGGGGGGGGCTCGGGCCGCCCGCTCTGCGGCCTTCGCGCCCGTCGCGGCGCTCCTGTGGAGCGACAGGGGCGTCGCGGCGGCCTGTGCCCATCAGCTCCTCCTCCTCCTCCTCCTCCTCCTCCTCCTCCTCCTCCTCCTCCTCCTCCTCCTCCTCCTCCTCCTCCTCCTCCTCCTCCTCTGCGGTCCTGCATCCTTGCGCACCCCAAGAAGCTCACTCCAGCGTGTTCCCCTCCTCCCTCGCCTCGGCGCCCCTGCCGCCTCCTCGCGCGATGCTCGCACGGCTATGCTTCGCCACCCACAGTGGAAGCAAGTCCCCATGGTGCTGTTGGCAGCACGCTCGCATAGGTGGACACAGCGTGTCGCCTGCCAAGTGGTTTCTATGATGAGTCCAGGCCTTCTTATGCGACGCATGGCGTGCATCAGCGCATGGCCTTCTTATGCGACGCATGCCCTTCTTATGCGATCTTGCGCTTTCTGATGCAGCGCAAGTGCCCATCAGCTCTAGGGCCTCCTGGGAGGCCCTCGGCACCGCGGCTGGACTCGCCGCGAAAGGCGGGCCAGGGCGCGCCCCAGGAGAGGTCTGAGGAGGAGGAGGAGGAGGAGGAGGAGGAGGAGGAGGAGGGGGAGGAGGAGGAAGAGGAGGAGGAGGAGGAGGAGGAGGAGGAGGAGGAGGAGGAGGAGGATGGGGGGAAGCTGTAGCTCTTGTTTTTCTTTGGGTTCCGCGCTGACGCCTTCGTGCCCAGGCGTATAGATCCGAGCCTTCAGCGAATCAGAGGAGAGCGGTCGATGCTTGGTCTGTCGGTGTTCCGGGGCCTTCACCGGGCCCCGGGACAGGATTTCCAGGGTCTCCCCTGAGCTCTTCCCCCTCCCCCGCTGATGTTGCCTCTCACCCCCCCGCTCTGATCCCCGCTCTCCAAGAAGAACAGCTCGGAGGAGGAAAAGGCACCCACACCGCTACCCTGCCCTCGTGTGCGCCTTTCTGGGCCTCCTGGGAGGCCCTCGTCCCCACCGCTGGATTCGCTTTGAAAACATCAGGTCACAACGCACCCCGGGAGAGGTCCGGGCAGTAGCCGCATATCGGCACCTCCTGGCTCCCCCAAGACAAGCAGCACGGCACACGAGCTTGCGGGGGTCCGCGCGCGGCTTCCTTGGATCTGCGCTTGCATCACGGCCCCTGGCGGCGCCTCTGGCGCGCTCCTCCGGCGCGCTCCTCTGGCGCGGAGCAGAGTGTTCCGGCGCCGCTTCCAGGACAGCGGCGCGCATACTCTCGAGAGCTTAGCGCCCGTGCGCTCGGGGTGCTCTCAGAAGCTGCGCCTCGCCGAGGCGTTTCCGGGGGTGCCCAGGCGGGGCGCCGGAGAGCCGTTGGCCGCCCCCCTCCGGGGGCCGGGGGCCCTTTGCCTCCCCCTGGGCACCCAAACGCTGCAGTGGCTTGAGATCCCGGGATGCTTCGAGGTCGCGCTCATCATGCGTGGGGCTCCGTGCGTCTGTAGGCCTCCTAGATGGGGTCGGAGTCGATGGGGTCGGAGGATCGCGCCGCATCGCCGATGCATCGCCGATGCGGCTCGATGTGGAGCCAATTGAAGCTCCCCGCCTGCACCCGCGCGCGAGACTTGAGGGGAGACGAAGCAAGGAGTCGGGGGGCTGCGGAAAGGCGACGAAAGCAACGTGCGCTGAGGGCGCGAGAAGAGAAGGTTGGAATAACAGCGGCGGGGTGAGTGTCAAAATCTGCCAAGCCAATCTGACATGGACCTTGAGGGCCAGGGCAACATGTGAATTTACATTGTGGGGAAAAGCAACATGTGAATTCACATGTTGGGAAAAGGAAAATGTGAATTCACATTCTGGGAAGGAGGATGGCGTGAATTCGCATCTTGGACTTTTGTATGGGAATCTTCACGAAAGGGCCAGAATGTGAATTCACATATTCGGAACAAGGAAAGTGTGAATGCGCATTTTGGGAAAATCGCGGGGCCCATTCCAAATCTGTCGAAGGGGTCGACAAGTCATGGTTTGGGAACATACTCGATTATCGGTCGCACAATCAAGACACACTTGCATTCCACTTCGCCGCCCCACGCGCGATATGCAAGAACGCCTGCACGCATGAACGATAATGGATGGACGGCGCGTTTGCCCGCGCGGGCAACGCGCGGGCACGAACGACTAGCCCTCCATGACCGCCAACATTGGATGCCAATCGTACCCGATCACATACATCAGCGATATATTGAGCATACATGGGCCAGTCAGCTCCCACTGCAGACCCCCTGTTGCAGACCCCTTCTTTCACCCTCCAATATACCCTGTTGGGATCCCCGTGCTGCCTGTTAGGGCTCTCTTGGAGTTCCTTTGGTGGGTCTTGGGGCCCTCTTGCGGCTCTCTGGGGAGGTATTGAAAATCTCTAGGGGCCGTCTTCGAGGCCACGGGTCAAAGAGAGAGAGAGAGAGAGACAAAAAAAAGACGGGGAATTTGCAATCTCCCGCTATCAATTATTCGAGTGACCACGTCGCCTCCGTTGCCTTTGCCCTTGGATTTCGATGTCTTCGAACTGTCTGGACAGCGCGCCCCCGGACACTTCGACAAGACGTCGCCGCCTTCGCACTTGCTTTCAAACCGAAATCACGCGAGGTCTGCGCGGACGAGGCGCTTTCGCACACTTCTGTCACACGTCGCCTCCGTCGCCCTTGCCCTTTGAAACCGAAATCACGCGAGGTGTGCGCAGCCGCACAGGGCGCAAATACGACCACGTGGCGCCGAGGGGGAGGAGGAGGAGGAGGCAGAGGAGGAGCGAGAGCAAGAGGAGCAAGGGAAGGGGAGGAAGAGGAGGAGGAGGAGGAGGAGGAGGAGGAGGAGGAGGAGGAGGAGGAGATGGAGGAGGAAAGGGCTGTTTTGGGGCCTCATTGGGGCGTCCTGGGGACCTCTTGGGGCCTCTTTTGGGGAACTTGGAACCGTCTTCAACGCCGTGATGGCCGACAAGTCGTATATGCGAAAAAGGTACGTTCCCCCATTCAATGATTGTGGCCTCTTGGGGCCTTCTTGGGGGTGCTCTTGGAAGCCCCGCGGGACGTCTTGGAGGCTTCTTGGGCCGTCTTCGGGCCATCTTGGGCATCTTGGGCCGATCTTCGGGCGACTCGGGGCCCTTTCGCACCGTCTTGGAGGCCGTCTTCGGCATTCTGCGTTCTTTCTGGGACTTTTCGAGTTTCCGGGGCCGCCCGAGGAAAAACGCATCTGACCCCGCAATCCCCTGGGACTCCCCTGAAATGATTCGAACCGGACAGCGTGCTCTCGGACCCATCAGTTTTTGCAGGTTTTTGGAGTCTTGGAACCCTTTGAACGCTCGACTGGCGCCTGGAACCGTGCAGCTGTTTTGGCGGAAGAAGACCGGTTCAACAGACGACCGGTTCAACAGGGACCGGTTCAACAGACGACCAGTTCAACAGACACCGGTTCAACAGACGACAAGTTCAGCAAGGACCGGTTCAAAAAAGACCGGTTCAACAGGACCGGTTCCGCAGAACCGGTTCCACGGAACCGGTTCCACAGGACCGGTTCCGCAGGACCGGTACCACAGAACCGGTTCCATAAGCCCGGTTCCACAGTATTGCAGGTTCCACAGGACCGGTTCCACAGGACGGGTTCCACAGAGGCGGTTCCCTCCTGCTACTCTCTCTCATTACACTGCTGCTGCTGTTGCTGCTGCTGCTGCTCCTCCTCCTCCTCTTCCTCCTCCTCCTCCTCATCCATCCTTCTCTGCCCTCCCGCCCTCCCCCATCCCTCGTTGCCGCTACGTCCCCCCGCCCCACATCCCTCATCCCTCCCTACTTCCTCCTCCCCTCTCCTCCCTCATCCATCATCGAGGGCCACCCACCCGACCGGTCCTGCCCGACCCGACCCGACCCGTCCCGCCCGTTAGGGGCCGCCCGCCCGACCCGTCCCGCCCGTTAGGGTACTCGCGTGCCAACTCGATGGCGCATCATACCGTACTGTCCTGCCCGCCCGACCCGACCCGTCCCGCCCGTTAGGGTCCGCCCGCCCGACCCGACCCGTCCCGCCCGTCAGGGTCCGCCCGCCTGCCGGACCCGTCCCGCCCGTTAGGGTACTCGCGTGCCAACTCGATGGCGCACCATACTTTAATGTCCGCCAGAACCCGACCCGTCCCGCCCGTTAGTTCCCTCCCCGCCCGACCCGCCCCGCCCGTTCGGGTCCGCCCGCCCGACCCGACCCGTCCCGCCCGTCAGGGTCCGCCCGCCCGCAGGACCCGCCCCGCCCGTTAGGGCACTCGCGTGCCAGCTCGATGGCGCACCATACTTTAATGTCCGCCCGACCCGACCCGACCCGCCCGTTAGGGTCCGCCCGCCGGGCCCGTCCCGCCCGTTAGGGTACTCGTGTGCCAACTCGATGGTTCATCATACATTAATGTCATCATACATTAATTTCCCGCCCGCCCGACCCGACCGACCCGCCCATCGGACCGCCCCGCCTGACACGACCCGAACCGCCCGTTAGGGTCCGCCCGCCCGACCCGACCCGTCCCGCCCGTCAGGGTCCGCCGGGCCGCCGGACCCGTCCCGCCCGTTAGGGTACTCGCGTGCCAGCTCGATGGCGCATCATACTTTAATGTCCGCCCGACCCGACCCGACCCGCCCGTTAGGGTCCGCCCGCCGGACCCGTCCCGCCCGTTAGGGTACTCCGGTGCCACCTCGATGATGCATCATTATTTTTTATGTCCCCCCGCTCGAACCCGACACCGTCCCGCCCGTGAGGCCGACCGCCCGGAGGCCCGACCCCGTCCCGCCCGCCCGCCTGACCCCGTCCCGCGCCGTAAGCGTATCGCCTGCCAACTCGATGATTCATCATAACATTAATATCCCGCCCGCCCGACCCGACCCGTGCCGCCCGTCAGGGTGAGCCCGCCCGCCAGACCCGTCCCGCCCGTTAGGGTACTCGCGTGCCAACTCGATGGCGCACCATACTTTAAGGTCCTGCCCGCCCGACCCGACCCGCCCGTAGGGGCCGCCCGCCGGGCCCGTCCCGCCCGTCAGGGTACTCGCGTGCCAACTCGATGATGCACCATTATTTTATGTCCCGACCGCCCGCTCGACCCGACCCGTCCCGCCCGTGAGGGTCCGCTCGCCCGACCCGACCCATCCGCCCGCCCGCCAGAGCAGTCCCGCCCGTTAGGGTTACTCGCGTGCCAACTCGATGATGCATCATACTTTAATGTACCGCTCGACCGACCCGCCGACCCGCCCGTTTAGGGTCCGCCCTCCCGCCGACCACGACCCGTCCCGCCTTTAAGAGGGTCCCGCACCGCCCCGACCCCGACCCGCCCGTAGGGTACCTCCGCGTGCCAACTCGATGGCGCACCATATTGAAATGTCCCCCACAGCCCGACCCGACGTCCCGCCCGTTAGGTCCCGCCCGACCGACCGAACCCGTCCCGCCCGTTAGGGTCCGCCCGCTCGCCGGACCCGTCCCGCCCGTTAGCGTATTCGCGTGCCATCTCGATGAAGCACCATACTTTTGTATCCCGCCCGCCCGACCAGACCCGTCCCGCCCGTGAGGGTCCGCCCGCCCGCCGGACCCGTCCCGCCCGTTAGGGTCCGCCGGGCCGCCGGACCCGTCCCGCCCGTGAGGGTACTCGCGTGCCAACTCGATGGTGCATCATACTTTAATGTCCTGCCCGCCCGACCCGACCCGACCCGCCCGTTAGGGTCCGCCCACCCGACCCGACCCGTCCCGCCCGTTAGGGTCCGCCCGACCGCCGGGACGTCTCGCCCTTAAGGTACTCGCGTGGCCAACTTCGATTGTGCTTGCTCCTTTAATGTCCCGCCCGTTAGGGTCCGTCCGACCCGACCCGACCCGTCCCGCCCGTTAGGGTCCGCCCGCCCGCCGGACCCGTCCCGCCCGTCAGGGTACTCGCGTGCCAATTCGATGATGTATTCTATTTGAATGTCCCGCCCGCCCGATCCGAGCCCGTTTGGGTCCGCCCGTTCGGGTCCGCCGGCCCGCCGGACCCGTCCCGCCCGTTAGGGTACTCGCGTGCCAACTCGATGATGCATTCTGTTTGAATGTCCCGCCCGCCCGACCCGAGCCCGTTAGGTTCCGGGGAAGCGGTTCCGGGGAAACGGTGCACCGGGGAAACGGTCCAGGGGAACCGGCTGCGGGGAAACGGTTCTGGGGAACCGGCTCCGGGGAAACGGATCGGGGGAAACAAACGGTTCCGGGCAAGCGTTCCCGGGGAAACGGAACGGGGGAAACGGTCCCGGGGAAACGCTCCTCCGGGGAAGCGGTCCCCGGGGAAGAGGTCTCCGGGGAAACGGTCCTCCGGGGAAACGGTCCCGGGGAAGCGGTTCCGGGGAAACGGTTCCCGGGGAAACGGTTTCGTATCGTTTTGGCGCCTTTTGGAGGTCGTCGACCTCCAGCTGTACTGGAGGCCATCTGGGGCTCTCTGAGGCTCTGTCGGATTCATATTCGGCTATCTTGGGCGCTCCCATTGGCCTAACCCCCCCTTCCGGGCACAAGGGATGGGGTAGGCAGGAGGATGTGGGACTGTGGGAGAGAAAAGACAAGATTTCGTGAAGCCATCAACGCCCGGAGGGCTGGTGGAAGTTACCGTGATCACCAGCGCCATCACCGTCCTGTCACGCAGGAAGTTGGCTCGCAGGCTTCGCGGTCGATCTTCTGTGCAGTTTACCACATGGGAAAGGAAGTGCCTTGCCATGGAGTTCCCGGCTTCCAGCCAAAGTCTAGAGGTATTCAGACAGAGTCTAAGCAGAGAACCCAAAGGAGGCGCCAGTCTCAGGCACCACAGCACATGCAGACAGTTTTGGCATCATTATTCAATTTGGGATGTTTGGCAAAATCCCAATGATGTCGGCTTCAGAATTATTTATTTCATGTTTATTTTCTGTGGAGTGCGTTCGTCATGCCTCGGTCCAAATTGTGGTACTGATGCTATGGCTGCGCGCCAGATACGATGCACCAGGCTCGTGCGTGTTCTATCTGATGAAGCGAAACAGCGAAACTATCACATATTTCGCTGGCGGTCGCTTGTTTGAGGGACGTCAAGAAGCAACCGCTTTCAAAACAAAATAGGGGCTTGCCGTATTGGATGGGGCCGATATCTTGTCATACCGGTGTGCGGAGCGTTGTGGCATGGCCCCAGGCAGATCATGAAGCCACGTGTTTCAAAACATCATATGGTTTGCTTCTTTATGCAGGGAAGCAGTTTACAGCTCCACAAGCCATCAACAGTCTCCGATTGTTCCCAAGCGTGGACGATTACGCTTATCACATGGTGCGGTTTTGGGGGGCGGTGCATCAGTTCCCTCGCTATGACACCAAGTTCGAACGGAATATAATCAAAAGGTGAAGAAAACGCGTGTGCAAACGCGTCGAATAATGTCAGGCTGCTGTATGATTTGGTGGCAAACAAATTTCTGTTTCGAATATATGGAGACGGGCTCCTGGGCAGTTAAATATATGGAGACGAACTCCTACGCAGGCGTTTCCAAAGGGGACATTTTGGGTTACGGCGGCCGGGCTCTTTAATGCTGCGAAGCCCACGACGATTGCTTACTGCGTTCGGCCTGTTGCCCACGCAATAAACGCTTCAGAAAAGCATTGTACAGTTGGTTCGGTATGCGCGCGCAATCGACCGCTCGATCCTGTACACCATGGCCAACACACGACCACGCTGGTCGATCAATACCCCTACCCTCGACTCGTCGAAACTATCGCCACGCAGGAAAGAAAACGAGGTTTTGAATCAATACCGGAGAATAGCGAAAACATTATACTACGCTCCATGCATTGCGCGCGTGCGCATGACAAGCTACCCTGCCATTCAATAGACATGCATCGCGCGCTGGTTTGGGCAAAGAGATATGTTTGATCCTCCGACGTGCTACGAACGCATCCAGAGACGTGCCGCGAACGCCTCCAAAACGATGTTCGATCAACTGACGCGCTGCTACGTACCTTTTCCAAGAGGCCCCCAAAACGTTCCAATCATCCTGCAGTGCGCTCCCAAATGCAGCCCGAGAGACTTCGAGAGGCCTGTGGCCCTTCCGCCCGCCCTCTGCTACTCTTCCTGTTCCTCCTTCGCCTCCTCTTCCTCTTCGTCCGCCTGCTCCTCCTCATATTTCCTCCTCCCTCCTCTCTCCTACCCCGTCCGTCTCTTTAGTATTATCCTCCTCCCTCCTCCCTCGTCCTTCTCCTCCTCCTTTTCCTCCTCCCCCTTTCTCCTCCTTCTGTTCCTTTTCTTCTCTCCTCCTCCTCCTCCTCCTCCTCCTCCTCCTCCTCCTCCCTCCCCCTCCTCCTCCTCTCTCCTCCTCCTCCTCCTCCTCCTCCGCCTCCCCGCGCTCCTCCTGGTCCAACTCGCGGCTTCTCTCGCCTTTTGAGATTCTGCATGCTCTCCCGCTCCCCAGATTGCCTCAACTACCCGATCGTTTCTGGATGGGCTGGTGGGGATACGCGAACCGTCAACACTGTTCACTGTTCTCTCATTAATTTTAGCGTCCTCGCCACTTCATCGCCCCGAATCTCGGCGACAGTTTTAAAAACACCCCAAGACCGCCAACGACGGCCCAAGAGACCCCTAGGCAACACCCGAAGACAGCTCAAGAAAGCCGCAAGACGGCCAAAGACGGCCTCAAAGACTGCCCGAAGAGGGCTTCATGACTGCTCCGAGAAACGCCCAAGAGAAGAAACGCGAAACCACAATCCGAGCCATCCAGCCCCACAGGCCTACATGAAGGCTCATGAGGCGCCAGAACACCCCATGGAGGACCCAGAGACCAGCGCGAAGGGCCACAAGGCCAAAAGGAGGTCCCGAGATGTTCAAACCCGTCCATGGCGCCGAAGGCGCCAGGGACATCTTCCGAAGCCAAAGCCCTATGAGCCATACGGCCTCTGCGGCATAAACAAGCCTCTTGAGCCCTATGCACACTGGGTCCTCCGATCCCTATACGCCCGAAGGCCCAACGGCCTCCCACGAGCCCTACGACAGCGACAAGCATTGCCGGCCATGTGTCCCAGAACGATTCCCAGGCGCCATGCGACCAAAGTTGTGAAGGCGAAGCGCAGCGAGCCGATACACTCGTGTATATATATATATATATATATATATATATATAGGTATGTGTGTGTGATTGTGTGCATGCATGCATGCGTATGTATGTATGTATGTGTGTATGTATGTAATGTAATGTAATGTAATGTAATGTAATGTAATGTAATGTAATGTAATGTAATGTAATGTAATGTAATGTAATGTAATGTACTGTAATGTAATGTAATGTAATGTAATGTAATGTAATGTAATGTAATGTAATGTAATGTAATGTAATGTAATGTTAATGTTTGTATTGTAATGTATGTAATGTATGTAATTTATGTAATGTATGTAATGTAAGGTTAATGTTTGTATGTATGTAGTATGTGTGTTGTATGTGTGTATGTATGTATGTTTGTGTAAAATGTTTATGTATGTATGTATGTATGTATGTCGTATTATGTATGTATGGTATGTATGTAATGCGTGTATGTATGTATGTATGCATGTTTGTATGCAGGTATGTTTGTTTGTATATAGTATGTATGTAATGTAATGTAATGTAATGTAATGTAATGTAATGTAATGTAATGTAATGTAATGTAATGTAATGTAATGTAATGTAATGTAATGTACTGTAATGTAATGTAATGTAATGTAATGTAATGTAATGTGTGTTTGAATGAATGAATGAATGAATGAATGTATGTATATATGTATGCATGTAGGTAGGTATGTATGTATGTATGTATGTGTATATATATATATATGTATATATATACACATATATGTGTATGTATATATATATATAACTCTGTTCCAAGGCCCGCGTCGCATCGCCGATGCATCGCCGATGCATCGCCGATGCGGCTCGATGTGGAGCCAGGGGGCCCGCGGTTCCCCGGGACCCGTCCCATCTGGGGGGGCGGGGCCCGCGGGCCGGGAGCCCTGGAACATGCACCGCCGCGTCGTCTGGTCGGCCAGGGAGCCAGCGGACTCGGCGAAGGCATCGGGTGCACGGACGCTCCAGCCGGGCGCGTTGGCTCTGTGCCGTCTGCTCGCCCTGCTCCGCCCCGACGCTGCGCGCGAGGCCGCGATCGCCAAAACGTACGGGCGCTCCAGCGTCCCACGGCCTGGGCAGCTGGGGCGTCTACGAGCCGAGCTCCCCTGCCGACCAGGCGACGTGCACCGAGCCCCCTCCCAGGGCGAGGGGGGCGGCCGTGCCTCTGGCCTGGCAGGACTGCTCGAGGCGCTTGGCAGGATTGCTCGAGGCGCGGGCCTGGATATCGGCGACGGTCGCAGCACCCCGAGATCCGAGCGCTGCAGTGTTTTCACACCTGGCGTGGTGGCTTGGCTTCGGGTCCCGGGGCCATCACGGATCCATCCTGCTCGACACATGCAGCAGGGTGATCGGGTCTAGGGTGAAGATGTTCCAACACACTTCAGCCTTGACCGCCAGAGCGAATTTCGAGCGCCATGAAAATGCCGACACCGGAGGGTGTTCACGTGTCGGGCCCTGGCAGGCGATACTCGTTCGACATTTCGCCAGCGTGTCGGGCAGACACTGTCTCGATACTTGCCTGGGTGCTCGACAGCACATTTCTGGGGTATGGTCCTTAAGTACGATGGGAGTAACATAAGTCCAGGGCTCTGGTCGCGACTGTTTGCGATGGTGCATCTATTTTCCGGCGGCGAGCGAGGGGGGAAGTGAGAAGGAGGAGGCCTTCTCAAAAGGTTCGGAAGTCCCCCAGCCTGATGGTATGTTTCCTGAGCCTCCCCCGAAGGCACAGAAAGCTTCCCGGAAGGCGCGAGGGGACCTGAGAAATCCCGCCGCCTTCTGAGAAGGCCACCTCCTCCTCACTTCCGCCCCTCGCTCCCCGCCGGGCTCTGGTCGCGACGGTCTGCGATGTTGCCTCTATCTTCCAGCGTCGGACCTCGGGGCAGGCCCCCGGGCCTCTCTCTCGGGACCGCGGCTCGAGGGGCCCAGGCTCCGTGGAGAGGGAGAGACGGGGCAGTCTGCCCGGGCTTCCGCGCGCAAGCTGCACGCGCCAGGTCGCGCGTACGCGCCCTCGCTTCCACTGCAGCGTTCCGCGCTGGCTCAGAGGAGGACAAGGTACCCACGCCGCTACCCTTCCCCCGTTTGCTGCAGATGCTGGCCGCTGGAGATGACCACACGGTGCTGCTCAGGAGCGACGGCACCGCCGTGGCCCGCGGCTGGAATGCTGATGGTCAGTGCGACCTCCCGGCGCTGCCCGCGGGCCTGACCTACACGCAGGTCGCCGCTGGAGGGCTCCACACGGTGCTGCTCAGGAGCGACGGCACCGCCGTGGCCCGCGGCCGGAATGCTGATGGTCAGTGCGACCTCCCGGCGCTGCCCGCGGGCCTGACCTACAGCAGGTCGCCGCTGGAGGGCTCCACACGGTGCTGCTCAGGAGCGACGGCACCGCCGTGGCCTGCGGCGACAATGATCATGGTCAGTGCGACCTCCCGGCGCTGCCCGCGGGCCTGACCTACACGCAGGTCGCCGCTGGAGGGCGCCACACGGTGCTGCTCAGGAGCGACGGCACCGCCGTGGCCTGCGGCGACAATGATCATGGTCAGTGCGACCTCCCGGCGCTGCCCGCGGGCCTGACCTACACGCAGGTCGCCGCTGGAGGGCGCCACACGGTGCTGCTCAGGAGCGACGGCACCGCCGTGGCCTGCGGCTGGAATGCTGATGGTCAGTGCGACCTCCCGGCGCTGCCCGCGGGCCTGACCTACACGCAGGTCGCCGCTGGAGGGCGCCACACGGTGCTGCTCAGGAGCGACGGCACCGCCGTGGCCCGCGGCTGGAATGCTGATGGTCAGAGCGACCTCCCGGCGCTGCCCGCGGGCCTGACCTACACAGCTCATTTGCTTCCAGCGCTGCTCCTGCAGGTGTCGCTCGATGGCGGCTCCATGGTTTTCGTCACCATCGGCGGGGTGGAGCGATGCAGGATCAGGGCGGCGCCCACCGCCCGCCTCGCAGACATCCACCTCCAGCTCGTGGCCGAGCACCGCGCGGGCAGGCTGGGCCCCGGAGCCTGGCGCGTCGAGGCGATCCTGCCGGGGGGCCGCCCGCTCAGCGCCGCGGCCGAGGAGACGGTCGCCGGCGCATTTCCCGCCGCAGCCTGAAGCGGAGGGCGGCGTTCGTATAAACAGAGCGCGTGCCGTTTGTTGCCAGGGCAGGTGCGCGACATCGCCGACGCGGCGCCGACCCCATGCCGCCCCTTGCCGACGCGATGCGGCCCTCCAGCGGCAGGCACGGCGTCGTATGTCTGTTTTCTGGTCGCCGTGCAGTTTCCCTCGGGTTGCGTGTGTGTGTTTGAGGTAAACTAGCACCAAACATTACATTCGAAAAACTTTAATAATACTCTGATCCAGCTCTGATTCAACTCTGGCCCGGAACTCTGTTTCATTTATGATTTTGTCCAAACTCTGACTTAACCCTGGTCTGAACTCCGACTTTATTCTGATGAGCCAGAGAGATGAACCAGAGTTTCAGGCCAGAGCCAAGTCATAGTTTCGTAAGAGCGCGCCCGTACGGAACTCAATACTCGAAAAGGGGACCCAGCTTCAAGCTACCCCCACCCTTTCTTCGAAAAGGGGGGGGGAGCTTCCGAAGCTATCCCCCCCCCTCCCTTTTGAAGGGTTTCTAAGCCAGGGGGGGCCCTGGCTAAAGTGGGGGGGCTTCGAAGCTATCCCCCTCCTCCCTCCCTTTTTCCGGAGCAGAAGGTGAGCCCGGGCTTCCCTTTCAAAGGGGGGGGGCTTCGGAAGCTACCTCCACCCCTCCTTCCTTTTTGGTCTGGACACAGGGGGGGGGGGCGGCTTTAAACTCCCCCCCCCCTCCTGCGCAAAGGGGGGGGGAGGGGGGCTTCCGAAGCTACCTCCCCCCCCTCCCTTCCGGGGCTCTGGCAAAATGGCGGAATCCTTGACGACAGGTGCGCACCGCAGCGCTAGAGAACGAATTTGAGAATAGCGTCGACCCCTGGTTCGTTTTCTTGCTTTCTTGTTTTCTCGGCCCCTCGTTGGTAGTCTCGTTTTCTCGGCCCCTGATTCCTTTTACCGTTTTCTCATTTTCTCGGCCCCCAGTTCGTTTTCTTGTTTTCTTATGCTTTCGGCTCCTGGGTCGCAGTCTCGTTTTCTTTGACCCTGGTTCGCGTTCTTGTTTTCTCGTTTTCTCGGCGCCTGGGTCGTGGTCCAGTTTTCTCGGACCCTGCTTCGTTTTCTCGTTTTCTCGGCCCCTGGGTTGTGGTTTTCTTTTCCAGACGCTGGTTAGTATTCTCGTGTTTTCGTTGTCTCGGCCTCTCTCTGACCCTATTTCGTTTTCTCGTTTCTTCGTTTTCTACGCTTCTGGGTCGTGGTCTCGTTTTCTCGAACCAAGCGTTTTTTGGTGATCTCGGCCCCTGGGCCGTGGGTCGTTTTCGGGGTTTTCTCGTTTCCTCGGCTCCTGGGTCGTGGTCTCGTTTTCGCAGGGCTTGGTTCGTTTTCTCGTTTTCTTGTTTTCTCGGCCTTTGGGTCGTGGTCTCGTTTTCTCTGTTCCGGTTCGTTTTTTCGTTTTCTTGTTTTCTCGGCCCCTTGTTCGTAGTCTCGTTTTCTCGGTGCCGCCATCCCCCATGGCCGGCCCCCCGAACCTTTGGGGGGTCACAGACCCCCCGGGACTGCCCCGGGCCGCTTCCAAATTGCCCACGACAGGCCACGCGGGCCGTACAGATGGTCAAGAAAGCTTGAAGAGGCCCCGAAGACGCCCAAGAGCGCCCCAAGAGGGCCCGTGAGGGCCCCAAGAGGGCTTTCAAGAGGCAAACATCTGCACATCTCCTTTGTAAAACGTACATGTTCGGCGTACTCGCTGGCCTCGTCTTCACAGTGTCCCAGACGCCCCCGCGGAGCCCCAACACAGCCCAAGAGAGACCCAAGAGGGCCCCAACGGCCCAAAAGGGTCGTCTCGGGGGGGTCCGTGAACCCCCCCGAGACGGCCCAAGAGGCCCCAAAGCCGGCCCAGGAGGCCCCCAAGACGGCCTCAGGGAGGCCCAAGAGGGCCTCGTTCGAAATCCTGTTCCCGGAAGTTTCTCCGGGATCATGATATCCGAGTTCCGAGGACGCCCAAGAGGCCCACAAGACAGCCTCAGCGAGGCCCCAGGGGGCCCGAGATTGCTTGAAGATGGCCGAAGAGGGCCCCGAGAAGGCCTTCCCCAGAGGCCGGCAGGATCTTAATTTAAGATCGGGTAAGTAGCTTCTTATGTTCTAATCTTCTTGATTTAAGAGAATAAGACCCTTACGTGATATCATACACATTACTTTTTTTTGCTATGTTTCTGCAGCATTGAGCCCCCATAATCCCGTTGATTCTTCGCGTCGGGAGGAGGAGTGATGGATGTGGAGGAGCAGCAGGAGGATCAGCAGCAGGGTCATCCCTTGTCTCCCATCTTCCCTCCCCTCCTACCTCTCCCCTTCGTCGGAGGGCCCTGGCTCGAACCCTGCAGATGCAGGTCGAGCCGCGGTGGCCGACATCCGACTCTGGATGCAGCGGAGACCGCTGGCGACGCACGGGTCACCCCCCCCCACCCCTGATGATGATGATGATGATGATGAAGAGGTGGAGAAGGGGGAGGAGGAGGGAGATGATGAGGAGGAAAACAGGATGATGAAGAACAGGTCGATGGAGATGAGGAGGATGAGGAATGATTGAGGATAGGCGAGGAATGAGGATGACACGGGGAGGAGGGAGGGCGACCAGGATCATCATCACCATCATCATCATCATCGTCATCATCATCGTCATCAGCATCATCATCCTCATATCCTCATCCTTCCCCTCCTCGTCCTCATCCTCCTCATCCTCCTCTTCGTCTTCCATATCCTCATCCTTCCCCTCCTCCTCCTCCTCCTCCTCTTCTTCCTCCTCCTCCTCTTCCTCGTCCTCCTCCGCGTCCTCCTCCTCCTCCTCCTCCACCTCCTCCTCCTCCTACGTCGCAGTCGTCGTCGTCGCCGTCGTCGTGGTGCGATGGCCTCCTCCTCATCCTCCTGCTCCTCCTCTTCCTCCTCCACCTCCAAGGCGATGGAGCTCACGGGCCTTGACGCCCTGGCGGCGGACGCGTGCCCGCGACAGGCCAACGGGCTTACATATAAACACTTACGCGTGGATGTGTTTAATTATTTATTTATGTATAGAGCCATGTAATTATTTATGCATTTATGTATGTAGGTAGTTATGTAGTTATTTATGGATGCGATCATTTGTTTGTTTAGTTCGTTATATATGGTCAATTGCGTACCGCTATACATGTGTATAGATGTTATATGGAGCTGTTTTAATACATACGCACGTCTACATATTTATGGGATACGCAGAGTATGTGTGTCCCCGCGTGCCCGAACATGTTTGGATTAGTTGTCCATTTCCACTTCAAAATCCGCCTGCAGGGGGACATGCCCGCCTTGAGCCTGCCGAGGTTTCGCATCGTGGACGTGCGTGGGCGCCTCGTGGGGGCTCCGAGGGCGGGATGGGTCTGCAGAGGTTTCGCCTGGTGGGCGCCCTTGGGCGCGCGTGGCGGGTGCCCTGTGCGCTGACTGGGCGTGCCGAGTGCAGCGCGCGCGGGTGCAGCGTTGGGCCGATTTGGATTCGATTTGGACGCGTCCAAACCGGGCCCAAATCGAGCCCAAGTCGGATCCAGGGGTGTGAGGATGTGGATGATGAGAACGATGATGGTGATGCTGGCGATGATGAGGAGGGTGACGATCATGATGATGAGGATGATGATGATGAGGATGATGATGATGAGCATGACGGTTACACCATACCTCCTCCCAGCACTGCCCCGCCCCAGGCGGCAGTCGACAAGATCGACAGCTCAGACGCCGAGGTCGAGTCCAGGGGCATCGAGACCATGGCGCAGGAGGATGTGCAGGAGGCCCGCGAGCGCTCACTGACGGAGCAGGAGATCCAGGAGGAGTTCGACGCCCTGACCCTAGATCAGACGCTGCCCTGCCATGAAGGCGCGGCTGCAGCAGTGACCCACCTGCGCGCCAAGGCGCACCCCGCCGAGGAGCAGCAGCATGGGCAGCCCTCCGAGGAGCAGCGCGCAGAGAAGCAGCCCGCCGAGGAGCAGCGCGCAGAGAAGCAGCCAGCCGAGGAGCAGCGCGCAGAGATGCAGCCAGCCGAGGGGCAGCGCGCAGAGATGCAGCCAGCTGAGGAGCGGCGCGCAGCGAAGATGCAGCCAGCCGAGGAGCAGCGCGCAGCGAAGATGCAGCCAGCCGAGGAGCGGCGCGCAGCGAAGATGCAGCCAGTCGAGGAGCCGAGGAGCAGCTTGCCGCCCCCGACCGCCCCGAGTCCTGGGGCGCCCCCCTGGCCCGCCTCCGCCCAGGCCCTCGGTGGAGCAGATCGATTCGGACGAGGACAGGAGGGCCAAACGGACAGCAACATGACCTGGTCGGGTGGTGGGCTCCTCACCCGAGGAGCCCATGACCACAGTGATTGTTGCGTTCGCTGGGTCTCCGCAGGAGCCGCTGCAAGCTATTGCCATTACTTCGCCGAGGTCGCGCCCGAGGTCAGCGAGCTGGGTACCAGCGCCAGAGACGCCGCAGCTGGCGGACGCGCCATCGTACAATCCAGCGGACTCGGGCTCGCAGCTGCCGATCGGGCTCTCGCAGCAGACTTCGGACGAGCAGGAGACGCCAGTGCTGCCATCCTTCAAGCGGTCGCTGACAGACGATGTGCAAGTGGAGACCAAGAAGTCCAAGAGGTGGCAGAGTAATCGCCTCGTGAGCCCGCCACGCGCGGAGGAGCGCGTGCCAGCGCATCCGCGCTCGCAGCGGCCGCTCGCGGCGCCGCCGCAGCTGGCGGGCCAGCGCCTGCAGCAGCCAATCGAGAGCAGCCACATCAACAAGCAGCAGGCGATGACAGCGCCGAGCATCGACCAGATGGCGCGGGCACCTCTCGATGGCAACTGCGGCATCAGCAAGGAGCAGCTGGTGGAGAAGCTCAAGCAGCAGTTCGACGAGCTGGTCGCATCCGACACTGGTGCGGACTTGGACGAGATGGGCAAGATTTCCCAGGACTTCTACAGGGGCTCCTCGATCGCGCAGCTGCGCGCGATGCGCCCTGAGACCGCGGAGAAGTCTCTGGATGGCGACTTCGGCGCCGACCCGAAGGGGTCGGCTCTTGACAGGGGGGAGCGCCTCATGTGGGAGTCCTTGGAGGAGAGGTCGTTCAAGTTCAGCACGGGGAAGAAGAAGGGCAACGCGATCGCGGGCAGATGGGCCAGAATGGTGGAGACATCGAACGAGTGGTCTGAGAAGCACCTGGCGGCGGAGGGCTACCCAGCCAAAAAGACGGTCCGCGAGGAGTGGGCGAAGTGGTCGTTCCACAGGTGGCAGAAGAAGCGGGAGTTCAGCAAGACGCAGACGAACAGCAAGAAGCAGACGATGAAGGGCGTCTACATGCCGCTGGCCAGGCTGGCGTGGAAGTTTGGCGGGGGGTCAACTGGTGCCAAGCTGGCATACACGTATGCTGGGAAGGCAGTGCTGATGGGGGGCATCTTCACGAAGTGGTGCAACATGACGGACTGCCTGTTCTACCTCTACGTGGAGCACTCGTTGGGGGACACGTGGCAGCAGAGCTGGACCAGCCACGAGGTCTGGATGGAGTCGGGCTGCGTCGGCGACCAACCACTTCCTGGCGCAGATGGTGCGGCGAGCGCGCCATGCACTCCGCTGCCGCGCCCTGGCGCAGAGGCGCCCAGCGAGGAGAAGCAGGCAGCCGCAGCCGCGACAGGGGGGCCTGGACACGAGGCCGCCAGCGGCAAGGGAGGCGGCGATGGCGACGGCAACGGCACCAAGAAGAAGCTCGCCGTGAAGGCACCCGAGTGGATGAAGGACTTCCGCAAGCTGCGCACGCTGTTCGCGCAGTACACATCCCAGGCACACAGGGGGGGGGCGCCGCTTTGATGGGGGGGAGCCAGGGCCGAGTGGCGATGCTGAGCTCGACGAAGCCGACGGCGCGATGATAACCGACGCAGCCGACGCGATGAGGATAGCGACGACGACGGGGAGTTGGGCCGAGAGGAGCGATGAGGCGGACGAGGGAAAGGTGGAGGAGGAGGATGAGGATCAGGATACGAATGAGAACAACGCGAAATGCGGGGTGGGGGGAGCAATGAGAGGTGGACGATACGTCATGTCGGAGCGGGCGGGGTGAGACGCAGGAGCAGGACGGGATGGCAACGTGACTGGAGTTATAAGAGAGAGAGAGAGAGGGAGAGAGAGAGAGAGAGAGAGAGAGAGCGAGAGAGAGAGAGAGAGCGAGAGAGAGAGAGAGGGCGAACAAGAGAGAGAGAGAGAGAGAGAGAGAGAGCGAAAGAGAGAGAGAGAGAGAGAGATGGAGAGAGAGGTATGAACAATAATACAGAACGAGAGGGACGAGGAGGCGTGAATACGATGATGAGGAAGTGCATGGGCGAGGGCGGGGAGACGGGAAGCGGGCTGAGAGGGTGGGATGGGGCATATATTCATGGGACGTGGTGGTCGAGCTTGGCGTCGGGAGCGATAGGCGTGCGATGGCGAGACGGAGAGTGATGTGATAACAGCGAACATGTCGTGCGGAAGGGGAGGTGTCCACGTTGGAGGCGCTGATCAAAGCGGACGCAGCTGAGGGCACGAACGAGTGGAAGTTCGCAGCAGGGAAGGAGACCAGGGGCGAGCTGGACAATGCTATCAAGCAGGTGCCCTGGGGGGATTGCGCACGTGCCCCGCCTCTCCCCGCCCCCTGCCATCCGGCCTCCCATCCATTCCCAGAGCAATACCGGCTAACCCCAACTATGTCCTCACCATTCCCGTTCATTTCCATCCTGGCATCCAACGGCGCCCCGGGAGGGCCTACAGTCAGCCTAAACTGTCGCCGAGAGGTCCCCAAGAGCCCCCCAAGAGGCCCCCAAGACGCACAAAGAAGATATGACGCCCGCCAGGAAGCCCCCACGCCTTTCGAGCATGGGTGCGCGTTCGACTCGGCGCTGGATGCGCGCCGCGCCGAACGCGCACGCTGGGCGGGGCTTGGTCGCGTCCATGGTCGCGTCCATGGTCGCGTCCATGGACGCGACCATGGACGCGTCCAAGCCCCGTCCAAATCCAAGACGGTGCTGTCGTTCAAAATGGCGGGGTTGCAACGCTAACACGAACTGTCTGCGAAATCTGCCCCCCCCCTCCCACTCACCGCCACCGCCCCGCATTGACTGCCCCCGTCGAAACAGCATTGTCGACGCCATCGGCGCACTATGTGGCACCGCGACGACCGCCCACCCCGAGGCGCTCCCCCCCCTGCCATGTTCCACCCGTCTCACGTGCGTAGCCATTTTGGCTGTTCGCGGTTCGCCACTCCCGCGGAGCATGGCGCAGCAGCGCTCGCGGTGCAAGGGGTCCGATGAGCTGGAGGCCGCGCTTATCAATCACTTCACGGAGGCGGATGAGTTGGACTACCCGCATGGGCTCGCAGACGACTGCGACCCTGGCGTGTTGAGCGAGTGGGGGGACATGCTCTTGGACGTCCGCAGAGCCATGTACCCTCACATGGCCATATCACAGTCGAAGGCCGCCCAGCTCTTCGAGAAGGTCCTCGAGGATAACGGTGCTGCGTGGGCCCTCGGCGACGAGGAGAAGGACTGGACGACGTCCATGGCGAAGATGCTTCGCGCCATGTTGAGGCACGTCCAACAAGCGGTTCTGAAGAACATGAAGCGCGAGGGGCGCTATCCCGACTCCTGCGCGTGGGTGCAGCCCTTCGTTGAGCAGATGAAGAAGCTCGGCGCGGCGCAGGACGCGCCAGCCGCCCATTTGTGCGGGCGATAGGGCGCGGGCGGGCGCAATGCCCATGGTGGCGGGATATGACCAGAGGGCGTGGAGACGGAAGAAACCCGCGGCCATGGTCATCGCACAGTCCGCGCATCATCGCCCATGCAGCTGCGCTCGCCAGGGGAGCGGACGTACACGTACTCTGTTGACATGGTCACCAAGAGGGCGCGCCGCCTGGACCAGAGCATTGCCAACCCAGCGCCAGAGTACGCCATGCCGCTCCAGGACGACCCCTCGGCCGCCGACCACGACGAGGTGACCGCCAAGTTCAAGGGCGGTGCCAGCGCGGTCATCGCGGGCCTTGTGTGCAAGACCATCAGGGAGTGGAAGCAGTTGGACAATGGCGGCAAGTGCCAGAAAGGTAGCACCATTATCGTCGAGCTGGCCAGTGGCGCGTCCAAGTTCCAGCTCAGCAAGTGGACGAGGAATGGCAGCCCCGAGATGGGGATCTGGGAGTTTCCGAAGCAGGGCAAGAAACGCATGATCGTCGACTTCGTACCCCACGCGGGCATGGTTGGGCACGAGGAGATGCTGGAGAAGCAGACGAGACTGCTGGCGGCTGGGAAGACCAGCAAGGAGGAGATCGAGGTGATCAAGCGCGCATTCATCAAGAAATTCAAGGATGCGCATAAGGAGGCAGATACGGCGACCGTCTGCCCCATGAGACGACCAGCGGCGGCCACGGCAAAGAAGAAGAGCAGCGCCGCCAAGATGCCCAAGCAGGTCGTTGATCAGGGCATCGGTGAACTCGATGACGACGAAGATGCCGACGAACTTGCCGATGTGGAGGGCTCACAGGACGACGACCAAGAATATGCATCCGAGCAGACTGACGAGTCGGCGGGGATTTCCAACGACGAGAAGATCGACCACGTGGACGGCAGGGGCGGCAAGGGCGACGAGGCCAGCACGGGCAGCAGGGGCGGCAAGCGTCACAAATTGGACCCGACCAAGACGAATGCCATCGCCGATGTCAAGGCTGGCACGTTGAAGCGACCTGCAGCCGCAGACCCCCGCCACACAAAGAAGGCGCCGAAGCGCGCGCCAGTTCCGCCCATGGACACTGCTGGAGAGGAGGCGGCGTCCCATGCGGCGCACACTGAGTTCGGTAGCCCACGCCCGTCGCGTAGGCGGCGGCTCAGCGCCAAATCACTTGACGTGCACGGCAGAGTTGAGTCGCCCGAGGTTGCGCCATCGGCCGACGCACCTACGCCGCCGCCGTTGCCCCCGCCGCCTGCTGGCAAGACCATGGGTTCACCCGTGGCCGCGCTGGGCACCAGGGCCGCCGCGGGCGACCTGTCCAGCGGCGCCGCCGACGCCGACCCAGGCGGTGCATCCAACGATGTTGAGATGCGCGGGATCTTCGGGTCTGGTGGTGGGCTTTTCGGCGCCGTGTCTTGCTTCAGGCTCTAGCGCGCGGGCGCCGCAAGATGCGTGCCGCTCAGTTAACTTGGCCACTGCGCAGCGCAGTGCGACACTCTGGTGCGAACTGGGGCGCGCCTTGACCAAGAAGTCGTGACAGTCGGTCACGTTTGCCCAGTGTTGGAATACACATGTCGTTCCGCCTTCCCTCTTCCCCCCGCCCCCCTCCCTCCCAGTCGCGTCGTCGCTGGGGCTCACCGCCCCATCGGCAACATTCGCGTGTTCCCATCCTGCACTCCGAGGTTAGGTCATAGTCCCCTCCTCCACTACAGGGCCCATTCACACTTGCACCCGTGCCATCTGTCTTCATTTGTCGGAGACACCCCGCGGGCCGTCTGACGAGGCGAGGGAAGCACGCTGCGAGACGGCAGCATGCGAGGGGGGCGAGGACAATTGGTGGAGAGGCGGGCGGGGGCATGACGAGCAGCGACGAGGCAAAGGAAAGGCGAGTCATGCGGTTGTGACACGGCGCGCACCCCCTTCCCTGATCACCTACCACCCCCCTTGCACCCGCTCACCCCTGCATTGTCACCGCCATCCCCTTTTATCGCCATTCCGCCGTTCTCAAGATCACGCTGCTCGAACTGCGACCTCCTGCCCCCCATGGTCACCCTCCTCGTCGGGGCCCCGCTGATCAGGCCAATGGTTGTTCGCGCGAATCCCAACCAACTCATTCAGAAGCCCCGCCCACGAGAGCTGACGGGAAATGAAACGCACATACTCATATAGTGAAACAGCGCGGTCAACGAGAGGAGGGGGGGTGCGTTGAGCCACGTCGGTGGCTTATCTTTGAGGATCGAAGGCCTTCTTGAAACGTTTGGCCTTTTCGGGGTCGTCGCGGGGTCCTCTCGGGGCTCTGTGGGGGCATGGTGGTGACCCTTTGGGGCTCGTTGAATGGCGCGCGAATTCGCAGGGTTTTTTTTTGGGGGCGCATGCGGGCACTCGCGGGTCGCGGGGTTCCCGCGGTGCTCTCTCGGCGTTCTCTTTGGAGCTCTGGGGCGCCTCCTGGGGCCATATTGGATGCCATCGGTCAACGGAGGGGGGTGCCACATGTTCGCAGCCCTGCTGGGGTCATCGGAATAGCCTCCCGTGGGGATCTTGTGCGCCCGTGTGACCGCCGCGGGCGCTCACGGGCCCATCTTCGAGCTCTCTTGAACCATCTTGGAGCTGCCTTGAAGCGTCACAATCGCATCGGAGGCGGGAATGAGACGACGCCAACATCGTTGTTCCCCCTTGGTGTTCGAATGATGCTGGCTACTCGGGAAACCCTGTGGGGTCTCCAAAACATTTGGATCCGTCACGCGGCCGCCAGGTTAAGAGGCGGATGACCGACGCCGAGTTCGAGGTGCTCACCAAAAGGTTAAACCAGGATCGGGGGGCGCCTCTTGTTTGACTCCACAGGTCGCCCCGTCCACTACCAGCCCCCCCCCCCCCCCCGACCATTCGCCCGTGCGGCCCACTATGATCACGTGGCCCGCCGCTCTCGGTTCGTCGAGCCCCATCCGACCCTTTCAAGAACCCGCGCGCCACGATTGCCCAACGTTTTCTCGCGGCGGGCCATTGCCGCGCCCCGACCCCCCCCTCCCCCAGGAAATCCTAGACGCTTCGCGTATCCCCGCCAGCCCGCCCAGAAACGATGCCCAGGCGGGCTGGGAGGCGATCAGGAACGCGCTGGAGCAGAGAGTGGGGCGGCTGGACCGCGTGGCGGGGGGAGGGGGCGAACGATAATATTGGATGGATGGATGGATGGATGGATGAGGGGGTCGGGGGGAAGATGATGAATATGATGAGGATGAAGAGGCGGTGGGGGGGGGGGGGGGGGGAGGAGGAGGATGAGAAAGGATAGGAGGAGGGAGGAGGATGAGGATGAGAGCAAGCAGCATAGATGTCGCTTGGATGTTTCTCGGAGCCACCTGGCGTTGGGCGTCTTGGGGCGTATTGGGGGTCTCGTGGCGGCCGTTGGTGGCTATTCGGCGCGTTGGGTGCCTCGGGGGGGGGGCCGGGGGGGGGGGGGGGGGGCTTGGGGTCATCTTGGGAGCCTCCTGGGGGTCTCTTGGGGGCCTCGTGGGGCCATCTTGGACTTCTCGGTGCCTCCTGGGCGCTTCTGCGGGCCATCTTGGAGGATACCGATCAAACGAAAGGGGTGCATTAATCAGCGCTCCCCCCCCCCCCCCTCCCCCCACCCCCCACCCCGACGATGCCAAGCGTGAGGCCAACCATAAAACCAATGATGTTGGCTTCCTCGCCGAAGCCGTTTTGGACGCTCCGACGACTCGCTGAACCCCCCGCCCAGGTCCAGGGGCGGGAGTGGGGTGAGGGGCAAGTCCACTTTAAACGGAGAAGGTTAAAGGCGAGGTATAAATCGAGCATGTACCGCTGCCGTGCCTGGCTCAAGCCGGGCCCGGCCTAATATGTGACTGTGCCTCACCGAGGCGCACTACTTGCATCAGAGATCGGAAAATCCCTTTTCCATTGACGATGCCCATCCTACTCTTTACTCCAGATCCCATGCTTCGTCTCGCTCTCTTGCTCATGCGCTATGA